AACCTGTTTGAGGAAATAATGACAGAAAATTTCCCTGATATTGGCAAAAAAACGAACAAAACAAAACAACAACAACAAAAAAAAACCACAAAAATGAAACTGTGGGATATTTACAGTATGGAATACTATGCAGCTTTAAAAATATTGTTCTCTTACCCTAGGGACAGCATAGATGGACTGAGACAATATCATGCTAAGTGAAATAAGCCAAATTGCAAAAGACAAATATCACATGATCTCACTCATATGTGGAATCTAAAGAACAAAATTATCTGATGAACAAAATCCCAAGACAGAGAAATATGGAACAGACTGTCAAATCTCAGAGAGAAGGTGGGGATGGGAAAATACTAACCAAAGAACTTGTTTGCATATATTCATAACCCATGGACACAGACAGTAGTGTGGAGAAAGCCTGGAGTGGTAGGAGGGTATGGGGAAGAAGTTATCAGTGGGGAATAAAAGGCCTCATCTGTAATTCTTTCAACAATAAATATTTTAAAAGAAGACTTGTACAACTGAAACCTATATAATTTTATTAAGAAATGTCATCCCAATAAAATAATAAAAATTGAAATATTTAAATTAAAAATAGATAAAAATCTTTAATGTAAGACCTGAAGACTCCTTGAAGGAAATATACATTGTAGGCTCCTTGACTTTGGTCTTGGTGATTATTTTTTGGATCTAAACCAAAAGCCAAGACAATCAAAGCAAATATAAAGAAATAGAATTACATTAAACTAAAAAGCTTCTGCACAGCGAAGGAGATTATCAACAAAATGAAGAGACAATTTAATAAATGGGAGAATATATTTGCATATCATATATCTGATAAGGAATTAATAGCAAAACTATATAAAGAACTAATTTTAAAAAATCATACAACTCAATAGCAAAAAAAAAAAAAAAAAAAAAAAAATCAGAGGGAAGGGGGAAGTGGGTGTGTATGTGGGAAGAGATTAACCAAAGAACTTATATACATAGTAGAGGCCCAATGCACAACATTCTTTCAAGAGTAGGCCTTCCTTCCCTCACCTTCCGGCACTAGCTGCCCTCTGGCACCCAAGACCTGGGCATTCCTCCAGCCACTTAAGGCACCTGGGACCTGGGCTTCCCTCGCAGCCCCAGGTTCATCTGAAAGGTCATCCAGAAGGATGCCCAGTCTAATTAGAATGTTACACTTTTATTATTATATGCATAACCCCTGGACACAGACAATACTGTGGTGAAGGCCTGAGGCAGGGGGCGGGTGTGAGCTAGAAGTTTGCAATGGGAAAATAAAAGGGGACATCTGTAATACCTTCAATACTAAAGATAATTTTTAAAAAATCAATTAATTTGATTAAAAAATGAGCATAAGATTTGAATAGACATTTTACTGAAGATTTTCAAATAGTCAACAGGTACATGAAACGATACTCAACTTCACTAATCATCAGGGAATTGCAAATCAAAACCACAATGAGATATCACTTCAAAACTTTGAGAATAGCTAGCATCTAAAAAACAAAAAGTAACAAGTGTTCTGGAGAATGGAGAAAAGTGGAATCTTTGTGAAATATTGATGGGAATGTAAATTGGAATAACCACTATGAAAATCAGTATGAAAATTTCTCAAAAAATTAAAAATAGAATTAACATGATTTAGCACTTCCATTTCTTGGTATTTATCTGAAGAAAATTAAAACATTAATTTGAAAAGATGTATGCACTCCTATGTTCATTGAACAATTACTTACAATAAGATAGTGACTTAGTTCTCCATTAGTAGATTAATGAGCTCTGTCCAGTGTGATTCAGTAGGTAGGGCATCACCCATGCACCAAAAGGTTGCCTATTTGATTCTTGGCCACAGTACATACCTAGATTGTGGCTAAGTTTCCAGTTGGGGGCATATGGGACACAGCCCATTGATGTCTTCTCACATGGATATTTGTTTCTCCCACTCCATTTTTCTCCCTCTCTCTCAATAAATCAATAAGACTATTTTTAAACATAGTTGAAAGGACATATAATATACATAATGGAATATCACTTAGCCATAAAAAACATGAAATATTGCCATTTGTGACAATATGGATGGTTGTTGAAGGCATTATGCTAAGTGAAATCAGAAAGAGAAGACAACTAATGCATGATTTACTTATATGTCATATCTAAGAAAAAAAGAAATCTCATAGATACAGAGAACTGATTATTGTTTGCTGGAGACAAGCAGTTGGGTGTGGGTGAATTGGTTAAAGGGATCAAAAGATACTAACTTCCATTTATAAAATAAGACATAGTTATATAATGTACAGCCTGGCAACTATAGTGAATAGTATATTATAATACACTGAATATTTGAAAGTAACTAAGAGACTCAATCTGAAAAGTTCTCATCACAAGAATAAAAAGTTTTAAGTAATTAATGTGACTTATTGTGGTGATCATTTTGCAATATATGCAAATATTGAATCACAACCTGGAACTAATGTAAAGTTATATATTAACTAGAGGCCCAGTGCACGAAATTCATGCATGGGGGAAGAGGGTTCCTCAGCTCGACTTGCACCTTCTCCAAACTAGGACCCTTTGGGGGATGTCTGACTGCCTCTTGCAATCTGGGACCACTGGCTCCTAACCACTCACCTTCCTGTCTGCCTGGTCATCCCTAACCCCTCTGCCTACCTGCCTGATTGCGCCTAACTGCTCCCCTACTGGCCTGATTGCCCTTAACTGCTCCCCTGCTGGCCTGATAGCCCCCTAACTGCCTCTGCCTTACCCCATACCCAAGATCCAGGATTTCCTCCTTCAGCCGGTTGCAGGCATCTGGGACCTGGGCTTTCCTCCCTCTGGTCAGCCATAGGCAATCAGAACCTGGCATAGCTTTGCCCAGAGTGGCTGGAGTCACAGGGGATCTTGGGCAGGCGGCTTCACCTGGGCTGCAGCACATGCACCGAGGACCACAGGGCAGGCAGCTTGTCCCTTTCCCTTGCCACAGGTGCAGGCACAGTCACTGGTGCCCAGGTCTGAATGGTGGATGGCTTGTCCTTCTCCTGGGCCACAGCCTGGATAGTCCCCTTTCTTCCCTCATGAGCTCATTTGTGCTTGGCTGGTCCCCATTCATCTCTTGTGAGCTCATTTGTGCCTGGCTGGTCCCCATTCCTCTCTCCCCAGTGTTGAGTGACTGAGCCATTAAGACATGACAGTGTGAGGGCATGATGACCATTTGCATATTAGCTCTTTATTATATCGTATTAACCCTCAATAAAAAAAAAAAAAATAGTGTTCTTCTTGTCCTGACTTGTGTGGCTTAGTTGGTTAGAGAATAGTCCCATACACAAAAGGTTTTATGTTAGATCCCAGGTTAGGCACATATGGGAAGCAACTGATCAATGTTTTTCTCTCTCATCAATGTTTATCTCTCTTTCCTTCTCTTTAAAATCAATGAGCATATCCTCTGGTGAGGATTTTAAAAAAATAGTGTTGGGGAGAAAAAAATGGCAGACCAGTCATGAATCTACTCACAGAGCTAGAAGGGAAATAAGACTAAATTGGAAAGAATTCAATTGAAATTACCAACTGAGATCCAGCTGAGTAGGAGACTTATATGAAGAAAGGACAAAAAACACTTGGAGACCAGGAAGAAGAGCAAGGTCACAAGTGGAGCTGACCCACCTTCCAGGAGCAGCAGGCTGACAGGTTGATAGTGAGGAGGGTTCCTGGCTATAGGAGGGTGTGTTCCCTCAGAAGATAGAGGCCCAGAACCCAGGCTGGGCTCTACAGCCCAGAGTAGCAGAGCCGAGAACAGTAGTCCAAGTAATATCTAGCTGTGAAAGGTGGCAGGGCTGCTTGCTATGGAAGAGTCTGGAGCCAGTAGACCAGAGCCAGTCAGAGGGAAAGCTGCAGTTTCATTTAAACATTAAAAAAAAAATTATACAGGAGTTTTCATTTGCAGATACTCACCTGAGGCTTTGATATAGGGACGAAGATTCAGACTTAAATTGCATAAGGAGTGGCTGGGTTGGGAAGCATTTGGGAAGATGTGGAAAAACATCAGCCAGGAATATTTGGTTGTAGACCCCAAAACCAAAATAACCATTTTTTTTTCTAGGAGGAGCTACCCTGTTTTCCCGAAAATAAGACAGTATCTTATATTACTTTTTGCTCCCAAAGATGCGCTAGGTCTTATTTTCAGGGGATGTCTTATTTTCCATGAAGAAGAATATGGTACACATTTATTGTTAAATAAAAATAAAGGAAATTTATTACCTGTATACGGTAGTATGGTAGTTGTCAACCGAAACCAGACAAACTGTGAATTCTACAGTATCAAGAATTTACTCATTTATTCAATGACAATCATGTCATCATCTTATGGAACATTATCATAACAATCCAATTCCTGAATTTCCTAGTGAATTTCTTGTGACTCCATTTCTTTCAGAATCAGTGGACCAAATCTCTCATGTTTAGCAATAGCACTGTCTTTAAATGAGTACTTCTCAAGGTAGCCTTCTTGCAGTGCATTTGCAAGGCAACAGTCAGTGATTTTTTCCCCATGAATTCTTCACCCAAGTCACAACTTCTTGCAGTTTAGGTTTCACAGTTTCCATGCTGATTTCTTTCCATTCTATTTTCAGTGTAGTCATTAATTTCCATGCACAAATTGTCTTTGAGTGGCTTGTTTATTGCAATATCAAGAGTCTGGAGATAGGCCATCATTCCTGCGGGAATCATTATCTGATCTATTTTTCTTTCGTGAAGAAATGTCTTCATGTCTTTAACACGGTGAGTGCTGGCTGCATCCCAGACTAGCAGACCTCTTTGGCTCCTTCACATAACAAGTGGCAGCATTAAATCAACTCACTTCCTAATAACTGCTTGTGTGGCCCAGGCTTTCTCAGTTTCAAGAATAAAAACGCCCAAAACATGTTCAATCTTTTCCTTCTTGCCCTTAGAAATGATTAAAGGTGGGATTTTAGTGCCATCCAGACGAATTGCCAAAATACAAGAAACACGTGCCCTTTCCTAAGCAGTGGAGGGAATGTACACTAAGGAGGTACCCTGCTGTTCAATTGTTGTTTGAGATGATTGGCCCATAAACACTGCAGTTTCATCCATAGCAATCATGTTGGAAAGATTGTATTTAGAGAAGTCAGCATCATCAATAAAGGACTTGAATGCAAGTGCTCTCTTAATAACTTGAGTATCTTCCAACCTAAACAATGTTGTAGATCTTCTTAAAGACAGTTCATTTCGCTGAAGAAAATTATCCAGCCAGTGTTGTGATGCTTTGAAGTCTTCGGGGGCTATGTCAAACTGTGGTGCCATTGCAAGGGCAAATTCTTGAATCTGAGCCCTATTCACAACCAAAGCCTTTGCTCTCCTGTCAACAACCCATTCACAGATCAGGTCTTCCAGTTCAGAAAATAATGGTTACTGACCTGATCCACACTTGTGCTTTTTAGAATTTCCCTTGTCCACTTGTTCAATGAGGTTACCATACTCTGCTCGCCATTTTTGGACCAATCAGATACTCAACATCTTCTCTTTGCAGAAAGCAGTAAGATTTTGGCCCCAAGAGTCTTCCACGATTCCTTTTCTTGTACTCCATGGAGTAGCTTTTTTTCTTTTTGTGCTCATTTCTAGGGGAAAAAAAGGAATTGGGGTATCAAGGTGGGGGGAGGGGGATCAGTTAAAACGACATAGGGGGGATCAGAGGGGGGAATCAAAATGGCAAAGGAGAATCAGAGGGAGGATTACCATTTTAGTAACCCCTTTTGATCCTCCTGTGTCATTTTAAGTGATCCCTCTCCCCCTACCCCTGTGCCACTGAACACCTTCACCAGACATCCCCCCTACTCCTTTATCAGACATTTACCCCCTGGGGCCTGCCTGGGGACTGTCACTGGGCTTGCTGGGGCCTGGATCTGGCCTGGAGCAGGGTCTGCCACTGACTGAGAACCTTCAGTCATCATGAGGGCAGCTATAAGCATCAGGTAGTGTCATCAGAGACAGACTAGCACTCACCACCTTCACCGTGTCCCCTCTGCTCTAATCCTCCTGTTCTTCTATATGCATCTGCTAAAGTCTCCTTCTCTCTAGCCCTGCGTCTGACCTCTGCTCCGCCTCCACACAGCAGTGATGTCAGGACTCCGGGTAACATCACTGGTTGCTAGACACCAGTCGGGGCTGCCCTAGAGACCAGTTTATGGTAAATTCATTTTCATTCTGAGACAGAGACTGGGGGTGGGGGACCTTATTTTCGGGGGGATGCCTTATATTTCACTCAGAAGGAAACCTGTAAATAGGTCTTATTTTCGGAGAATGTTTTATTTTTGGGGAAACACGGTAGCTACTCCAAATAGCTTCAGGGCAAGCAAATAAAAATATCAGCCTAGATGATGTAGCCTGAGCCACTCTCAGGATCCCTGCATATCACACCATAAATTTTGACCTTTTTTAGATAAAACAAAAGCAGAGACCGAGATCATGGGTATTAAAAGTCTCAGGAGCATCAGTGACTGGATTGGAGCATGGGCCATCTGCCCCACTATCCTGAGGAACAGACTGGCACTTTTCCTGCACAGGAGAGCTGATAAAAATTCCAGGTTTTCAGACAATCACACTGGACTCCATACAGAAATCTCTGCCCAGCCAAGGGCAGACTTATATTTTAGGTAACTTACAGAGGAGTAGCTCTTGGACTGGAAAACACATCCACCACATTTCCTGAAAACTAAATGGCATTAACCCCACCTAAAGCCCTTTAAGGAAAATACTTTTGAGTGATTAATATTGACAGCTAGCTAGCAGGCAAAAAGGGCAGAGGCAGAGCCCAGGGAACCAGGAGAAGTTTACTAACAAAGCCCTGAACCTCTTGATACTAACAAACCTACTTTAAAGGGTATATTGGCCCCTCCTACTTGCAGTCAGGTCCTATGGATATGAACGTAAAGGTTAGATAGGTATGGATAATCTGGAGCTTCAAGCAGGTGGCTGAAAGCTAAAGGAGGACCATACCTGAGAGTGTTTAGTCCACACAGGAAGCATAGCATTGACAGACAAAACAGAAGAGCAGGATCCAAAGAGAGCTCCCATGGGCACTAAACTGGACTGAAACAAATAATACTACCTTTGTTTTCTTCATTTCTTGTTTTTCTTCCTTTTTTTCATTTTCTTTAAAATTTTTTGTCTTTTCTTTGTATTTCTCCTTTTAAATTTATCTTCTTATCTATCTGATTTATTTATTTATTATTCTTGCCTCTATTGTTTCATTCATATATCTAATTTTTCTCTTCCCTTTTCCTTCTCAATTTTTTTCACTACTCAATTATTTTCCTCTTTTCTCTCTGTCTTTTTTTTTCTACTGCCTTTTCATCTTTTTTACTTTTCTTATTTTAGGTCTATCTGTTTCCCCCCTATTTTCTAGTTTGAATACTTTCCTCTCTCTCTTTTCTTTTATTTACGTATCTATTTTCTGGTGGTTCCTTTTGTTGGTGCTGTATGGATCTTGTGTGTTTCTTTGTTTCTTGGTTGGTTTCATTTTTTTTTTTTTTGTGTGTGTGTTGTGTTTTATTCTCTTCACTTAGCACTTCCACAACAGCTCACATGACATGGTCAGGCTGAGCCACATAGTCAGCCAGGCTGGGAGGAGACTCCATCCATGAACAGGGCAATAACATTCAAAACCTAAATACAGCAGGAGAAACCAAATAACTCTAGTAAGAGGCTTTCTTAAAACACTCAGCTTAGGGGATCTAAAAGACTGCACCACTGGGTCCCAGAAACAGCTACCACATAAGATCACCCCACAAAATCTGGGAGGCATAGAAGTTTGATGGAAGACATAGAAACTAAAACAAAGGGATAGCAAAAATTCAGAGACAAAGAAACAACCTCAACATGAAAGACAAAGAGAAATCGCCAGAAAAAGAATTAATTAAATGGAGTCAACTAATTTGTCGGATAAAGAATTCAGAATAATGGCAATAAAGGAGTTCAAACAACTCAGTGTGAAATACAAGCTACTTATTTTGAATTATAAGTGTCTTAATGTGCTATACCAGCATGAAAAGAGAGCTTGAAACAATGCATATGAATCAAGTGGAAATGAGGAATGCCAACTGAAATGAAGAACTGTTTGGAAGAATTCAACAGTAAACCAGAAGAAGCTGCAAAATAACCAGTGAATTAGAAAATAAGGTAGAAAAAAAACATCCATTCAGATCAATAATAGAAAAAAAATAAACAGTAGTGAGTATAGTAAGAGAGTATAAAGCAGCTTTGGGACAATATGGAATGTAACAACATTTGCATTATAGGGGTATCAGAAGGAGCAGAATGTGAGAAAGGAATAGAGAACCTGCTTGATGAAGTAACCACATAAATTTTTACTAAACTGGTGAAGAAGTCAGTCAAGTTCAGGAAATACGGATAATCCAAATCAAGATAAACCTCTAAAAAACTACACCTATGCACATGATAATTAATATGGCAAACATTAAAGACAAAAAAAATAATCTTAAAGGCTAGCAACAGAAAGTTACCTGCATGGGTACTCCCATTAGACTGTCAACTGACTTCTCAATAGAAACACATCAGGCCAGAAAGAAATGGTATGAAGTATGCCAAGTAATGAAAACAAAGGGACTGGACCTAAGACTAGGTTCAGAAAGGCTGTCATCCAAAATTAAAGATAACATAAAGAGCTTCACAGACTAACACAGGCTCAAAGAGTTTATATTATCACCAAATCAGCACTGTAAGAAATGCTAAGGAACTGTTGTAAAAAGAAAAATTTTTAAAAGAGAGAGTACAGACATAAAGAATAAGAATGGCACAAATAATTACCTACCAGTAATAATCATAAATGTAAATGGCTTAAATGATCCAATCAAAACACACAGAGTAGCTGGATAGATAAGAAAATAGGATGCGGAGGAGGTAAGATGGCAGAAGAATAGATGGGCGGATTCTGAGCCCTCTCCCGAAGCAGAAAGAGAGAGCAACTGAGGGTCTTGTGCTGTGAGTGTTTATCTGCAAGCTGGGAGACAGTGAACACCAGAAGAAACTGCTGTGGGGCTGCTGACAGAGGTGCCCCTCACTGGGAAGCACCCACGAGGGCTGTGTCCCTGCCCGGAGCTACCTACCGGCTTGGACTGGGAAACCTCGCCATCTTGAGAGGAAGATAGGATCATGTCAGAGGCCTGAATATCCATAGCCGCAGCGACCACCAAGCATCTGTGACCCCCAGAATGCGGATCCTGGGCGGCGCGAACACCTGCCCTCACAGGATTGCCCCACTGCTCAGCAAAAAGGTCAGATTTCGCAGGGAGAGGGTGGAGAGTGCTCGAGGCGAAAACAAAAAGCCTGCGCGCACAGAGCACGCTCGCGGAAGCTGGAGGACAAGGGTGGTGATTACAAGTAGAAGCCCCTGCTGTTGGGCTGTTGTCACCCTTGAAAGTGGACGGGGCTCCTAACAGGGGAGATATCTAAAGAGCAACACATTTGAATCCGGCTCGGAGGGATATCGGAGAGTTGTGGAAGATTCCAGTTGCTCGGACCTGCCCCCATCCCCCCCTCCTTAGTTCCACCTTCAGAGAGGATGAAAAAAAAAAAAAAAAAAAAGCTGGAGAGGCTCTAGAGAGTCTGGAAATCAACTTAGAAACACTGCCCCCAGAGGCTAATTCAGAAATTGACTCTAGTGTAATAAAAACAAAGCAAAACCTGCCTAAAAATCAGGACTGGATCATAACAATAGAGGAAGCGAATGACCTTCATTACTGCAAATTTTAATTAAAATTTTTAAATTTTAATATTATTTTTTTAATTTTTAAATTTTTGATTTTTATTTTTTTCATTATTTGCAACGTTTACTCAAGAAACTAAAGAGAAAATAAACAAATGGGACTACATTAAAATAAAAACCTTTTTTACAGCAAAAGAAACCATCAACAAAACAACAAGAAAGCCCACAGTGTGGGAGAACATATTTGCAAATGATACCACTGATAAA